GCTAAGGGTTCCTTCATCATCGTACAGCACTCTGCCAGGATTGGGGATTGTGGAAAGAGGGTATTTCCGGTGTTCCTGTCATTCTCAATGTGACTGATTTCACACTCACCCAGAGTACAGGAGCTTCTCAGCTAGTTTCTGGGTTTCTCATGGAAGGAATTGATTCCTATGTCAGTGTTGAATTAGTGTACCTGTGGAGGGAAGAGAAATCCAGGGTTTCTACTGCCATATTGTGGATGTCACTGTCAAATTTCAAAACTTTCTCTTTTTTTCATGAAATTATATTTTTAAAATTCAAATATAATTTGTATATAACCTGCCTATTTTCAACCTGAAGGAATGTACAGATAGAAGAAGACACAGTGACTTGAATGGCTGCGAAGTGAATTAGAACAAGAGAACAAGGTTGTAGTTTCCCCACTCCCTGGGAAAGCATTTTTGCGTCAACTTCCTTTTAGAGGAGATGATGGAATATTTGATGACAATTTCATTGGAGAAAGAAAGCAAGGGCTGGAACAGTTTATAAACAAGGTCACTGGTCATCCTCTGGCACAGAATGAACATTGTTTTCACATGTTTTTACAGGATGAAATAATAGATAAATGCTATACTCCATCTAAAATACGACATGCCTGAAATTTGCCGAGAAGTGGCAAAAAAAACTTTCCGTGACTATGAATGATCGTATGCGCCAGTGAAGAAGTTCTAACTAACTTAGCATGCTGCACAGAAACCGGTCTAGGATGCCTGCAGTATACTAACACTCATGAGCTCTGCTCTGTTTTGTTTTGCTTTGGCAGTTGACAAGTTAATTTGCTTTCATGAAATCCCTCATTCCAGCCTTTCTATACAATAGCTCTTCCTTGCTGTTTAATGTGCTGCACACTATCGCCTCACACACCTGTTACTCCAGCATAATCCGCAGTGTCCCGACTAAAGTTACTGAACTGGTCTCAGCTGCACAGTTTTTGTGTCATGTTTGCTTCTTGAATCTGATTAACTAGGATATTACTCTTGTCTGCTTTTCAATATGTGATGTCCTTGACCTAACTTATGTGTAGGAGCACTGCACCTCTGGTTGCCAGCACCCTGCACACCATATACACAGTTGTGTGCAGAATGTATCCCTTCAGGCTTATAATGCCCTTCACATGGAAGATCAATGAGGGGAATCTTTATATTCTGTACAAAAACAAAAACAAAATTATATACTAAAGTCATTTGTCTAAAAATTTAAGTTGTCTTCAAATAAAAATAAAACTGCATTTCTGATATGCAAAAAAAAGAATAGAATTACCATATGACCCAGCAACCCCTCTTTTGGGTATATACCCCAAAATTTTGAAAACATTTATTCATAAAGATATATGTACATCTATGTCCATTGCAGCATTATCCACAGTGGCCAAGACATGGAAACAACCAAAGGGTCCTTCAAATAGATGACTGGATAAAGAAGATGTGGTACATATACTATATAATGGAATACTGCCATTTGTGACAACTTGGATGGATCTTGAGAATATCATGCTAAGCAAAATAAGTCAGTCAGAAAAAGTCACATATGGTTTCATTCATATGTGAGATATAAAGCTGAAAATAACAAATGAACAAACAAGACAAACAAAACCTCGTAGACACAGACATCAGTGTGGTTAATGGTTACCAGCAGGAAGGGGGGGTGGAAGGGAGGTAGCAAAGGATAAAGGAGGTCAAATACATGGTAATGTAAAGAGGTGTGACTGAGTGGTAAACACAAAATGTGATATACACATGATGTAGTACAGAATTGTATACTTGAAACCTATATAATTTTATTAACCAATGCTCCCCAATAAATTTAATTTAAAAAATATTTACTCTCTTAGCGACTTTCAGATATACAATACAGTATTATTAACTATAGTCACCATAGTGTACATTAAATCCCCATGACTTATTGATTTTATAACTAAAATTTACATATTTTGAATCACTTCACCATTTTGTCTGTCCCTCTCCCCCTGCCCCTGGCAACCATCAATCTCTTCTCTGTATGTATAAGCTTGCTTGTTTTTTATTTGTTTATTTGTTTAAACTACATATAGTTGAGATCATATAGTATTTGTCTTTCTCTGTCTGATTTATTTCACTTAGCATAATGGCAAGATTTTTTCTTTTTTATTTCTAAATAATATTCCATTATATATATATACTAGAGGCCTGGTGCATAAAATTTTGTGCAAGTGGGGCGGGGGAAAGTCCCTTCAGCCAAGCCTGTGCCCTCACAGTCCAGGACCTCTCGCTCCTTACTGCCCACCTGCAGCGGAGGCGGGAGAGAGTCCCTCCACCACCACTGTGCTTGCCAGCATCAGCCTGGCTCAGGGCTTCTGGCTGAGTGGTGCTCCCCCTGTGGGAGTGCACTGACCACTAGGGGGCAGCTCCTGTGTTGAGCGTCTGCCTCCTGGTAGTCAGTGCACATCACAGTGACCAGTCGTTTTGCCATTTGGTCAATTTGCATACTAGCCTTTTATTATATAGGATGTCACATCTTTGTCCATTCATCCATCAATGGACACTTAGGTTGCTTCCAAGTTTGGGCTATTATAAATACTGCTGCAATGAACATAAGAATGCAGATATCTTTTCAAATGAGTGGTTTTATGTCCTTTGGATAAATAAACAAAAATGGAATAACTAGATTATATGGTAGCTTATTTTAAATTTTTTGAGAAACCTCCATACTGTTTTCCATTGTGGCTGCCTCTAATTTACATTTCCACCAACAGTACATGGGGTGGGCTAAGGCGGGGTCCTTTTTCTCCATTTCCTCAGCAACACTCATTATTACTTGTTGTTTTTTTTTTATAATAGCCATTCTAACAGGTGTGAGGTGATACCTCATTGTGGTTTTGATTTGCATTTCTCTGATGATCAGTAATGTTGAGCATCTTTTCAGCATATGTGGGCCATCTATGTCTTCTTTTGGAAATCTATTCAGGTTCCCTGCCTATTTTTAAAATCAAATTGTTTGGGGTGTTTTTTTGTTTTTTTTTACTGAGTTGCACGAGTTCCTTATAAATGTGGGATGTTACTCTTTATCAGATATATGAATTGCAAATATTTTCTCCCATTCAATATGTTACCGTTTTCATTTTGTTGATGCTTTTCCTTTGCTGTGCAGAAGCTTTTTAGTTTAATATAGTTCCACTTGTCTATTTTTGTTTTTGTTGCCTTTTTGGTGTCAAATTTTTAAAAAATACCATTGCCCAAGACTGACATCAGTGAGTTTATCACCCATGTTTTCTACAAGAAGTTTTAAGGTTTCAGGCCTTATGTTCAAGTCTCTAATCCACTTTGAGTTAGTTTTTGTGTATTTTATAAGATAATGGTCCAGTTTTATTCCTTTGTGTGGCTGTCCAGTTTTCCCAACACCATTTATTGAACAGACCATCCTTCCCCTAATGTATATTTTTGAGTCTTTTGTCATAAATTAACTGCCCAAATATGCATGGTTTTATTTCTGCGCTCTTCATTCTGTTCCATTGTTAAGCTTTAAAAAGATGCCAGGGACTTAAAACTAAAGTAGAATGACAATTTCAGAGTCACAGAATTTGAGAAACTTAAAAGTCTATGTGAGAAAAAAGGTTTAATGCCAACAATTACTGTTTTATTATAAATCCATGAAAAGGAATTAGCAAGGCAGATCAGTATGTTTTTCTCCTTATGTAATTCCTCCGAAATCTGGCAATGCTAAATAAGTCATGGCAATACATTCCTTTGCATAGATTCAATAAGACTGGTTCCTAATAGTGGTTTTATTAACAGAAAACTTTGACTGGAGTATCATGTTTTAAAGAGCCCTGTCTGAGCTCTAAAGACTTAAAGCCAATAAGAATGCCACGAAGAAAGCTTCGTATCCTGCTTGGAAGCCCTGAAGATGGCTGTCACTGGAGCATCAGGCCCATGCCCTACCATCACTGGCGGTTGGTCAGAGTAGAACGGGAGCAATAAGGATGCCTCTGCATCCCTATGGAACCCCCACACACTCTGGGCCACAACGAGTAGGAGGGCTACTGAGATGGGCCTTAAAGCCTAGAACATGGGCTCAGGTGGAGTTGCTACAGGAGAGGGAT